TTGGAAAATCCTCTGGATCCTGGTTAATTAATGAAAGGGGTTAACATCAAAATATTAATGAAAAGTGGCTAAAATCTAATAATGTCATTGATTTTAGGCGTAGGGATCTCATCCATCCTTTCACCACAAAATCCCAATACCTGTCCACCTTCAATATAGCAGAGGAACCTTGGCTTCCACATATTTGAACCAAAAGTGGCATACCAAATGTCACTCTTGGACAGCTCTGATCTCCATGGGGTAGAAGCAGTGGTTAGTTTATCTGCATTCAGTTTAGAGCTTATCATTTAATATAAAAGTAAAGAAGAAAACTGACTTAACAACTTTAATCTTCACTTTATTACCATGATTATCTTCAACCTTCAACTTTAAAAGGGGTCCCACAACATCCTCAACAGCTGCAACAAGGTCCGCTGATACAATTTTTGAAGCTTCATCATCCTCGCCATCAGATTCGGAGCTTAACAGTAGAATATGCTGAGTTGAAAACAACTTTATTAGAAAGATGTATGGGCTCATCAAATTACATTATGTCTTAAAATTAATGAGCAGAACCCTATACATGTTTTCTCCCTATGACTCCATCCTTCATGACAAGAACCCTAAAACAATTATGTTGCACATTTTTTCTTCTTTTCCAATTACGAGTTGCTCTTCCTGCTTTTAAGAAAATACATTAGATGTATTCAAGAGCCCTACATGATTAGATTAGCATCATGTACCATGTATTGACTAATCAAAAATAAAAAGTAAGCCTTTCTTTTTCTCCAGTAGTTATAGGAGAACCAAGAAATTACTGCGTTCTTGGTTTATGTTTATTTCTGATGAATTTCAGAATCACCTAAACAAGACCACTTTAACAAAGACATTAATTGGCATGCTAATCTACTGGCCATCCACATTTGACAAGATAAAAGCAAGAAGATAAATCTGCAACCAAAGATGAAAGACAGCCTTACAGGAGGAGCTTTTTGATTGGTCAACTTAGTTGGTAATTCATCTGCAAGTGTTGGCCAGAATGCACTCAATTTTCGGCGAACCTGGCAAACAGGCCATCTATGCCTCAGCAGAAGAAAAGACTATATAAAGTACAAATTGCTAAGAACTGGTAAGGAACCAGCACAAGGAGGAAAAAGAAAGCACAGTTGTCAATTCCATTCAAGGAAAGCTGCGAAAACCATTGTAAAGGATTAGTACCGCTTGAATGACTCGCCATGTAGACTCAAATGGATATGCCTCAGAAAATCCAGATATAGGTTTGTCTTCTAACAGAACTTCCATGCAACCCAGGGCTGAATTTGCTATAGAATCAAGATTGTATCCTCCTTCCAGTGCCAAAACAATCCTACCTTGAGCAAAATCCATCAACTGGAAAAAAGAAGTTACATTAAATACAAAAGATATAGAGAGCCATCACTTCAGACATACACAAAAGATGATGCAATAGTGTAAATCTCACTTCGAAAAAAATTATGAAGTGGAATGGGCGAAACAAATTAAAAGTTACAGACCAACTGCATCAGACATAGAGAAATCAAAAGGGAGAAATTAAGGAAATGGTAATAAAAGTTAATCACTAACCTTCTTCAACATGATGGAATATCCATATGGTGTTACCCGACATCCCCCTAGAGGATCACCAACAGCTGTTCCAAACAACATGATACACTTCTGATGATAGAGAAACTAAAAAAGCAGCCAAAAAATTAAGAATTCTAAATTTCAACAAGTAAGTTTATGACCATCAACCTGCATCAAATCCTGCAGATATTATAATTATGTCAGGTTTAAATTCCTTGGCAACGGGAAGTAAAATATGGTCCCAAACTGCAAGATAGTCAGCATCGCCACACCGGCCATTTTCCCAAGGGACATTTATATTATATCCTGCCCCGGGTCCTTCTCCAACCATGGTATAAAAACCATCATCATTAGCAGGGTAAAAACAGCCAAACTCATGCCTGCAAAAGAGGACAAATTGAAACAGTCACTGAGGTTAATAGCCAGTTACAATATGTGATTAGACATCATACAGTCTAGGTCCAATCTAAAGCCTGCACTTTAAAAAAAAACATAGCGACAAACAAAAGGCATTTACTACAAAACTGATGTTATCCTAAAAAAAGATGAAAAACTATCTTTAGCATAATCAAATACCAGACAATTCCTCAAGAAAACTTATTTTGGACTAAGAGCATACACAAACTTAATACAGAAAAAAATGAGCTCACATTAGTTATGTACCTGTGAACGGAGAAGAACAGAACACGAGGATCCTTCCAGAAAGTTTTTTGAGTACCATTACCATGATGAACATCCCAATCAACTATCAGAATCTTGTTTATATCAAGTTCTGGCTGCAAGGGGAAAACATAAATCAAATAGAAATGCAATGTTGTCACTATCTGTAAAATATTGAGGAAATTTTTCCGTAAAATAGGGGAAAAAGGACCCTGAATTATAAAAACCAACGGTCACTTCTCACCCTTTCATCAAGGAGAAAAGTGGCAGCTATAGCCACATTGTTGAACAAACAAAATCCCATTGCTTCATCGAATTCAGCATGATGGCCAGGTGGCCTAACAAGAGCGAAAGCAGAATCCAATTCCCCTTTTGCCACTTTCTCAGCAACCTATGCGACAAAAGAAATTTTCTTGTCAGATTTTAAACGTTTAAATGTAAATGTACTATTCGAGAAGAGCTTTACAGCACCTCAATGACAGAGCCAGCTGCGAGGTAAGCAGCCTCTGATGATCCTTCATTGAAATATATGGAATTTAATTTGGATGCGATTACATTTCTCTTCGAATCATATGGTTTGGAGCTTATATTTCGAATCAAGTTAACGTGTTTTTTGGAGTGAACAGCGCAAATGTATTTATCCTCCGCTTCTTTGGCATTTAAAAGCACACATCTAAAAGAGAATTCCAACAAAAACAAATTTAGAAAAGCAAAACAAAACAAAAAAAAAAAGGAAATGAATTTATAACATATGAGGATCAATTTCACAGCTTAATTTTAATGCTGAATGAATTATTGTCAAGGTTTAAACTAATTGCATTACAAAGAAAGCAAATTAGACTATAATTTAACAAAAAAAAAATTATGGAATTCATTTTCTTTTATTAAGAATTCTCACCACAAATAAGCCGTGAGAAAACGAAAGAAAGTTTCAGATAAAAAGTACCGTTCGGGAATGCCGGCGAGTTTGAGCTTGTTCCAAATAACGGTGATGCGGTTGGGATTCTCGGGATGATAATCATCATCAGGAGTACGATGCTTGCACATCCTGTGATCGTAAATTAAACCTACCCGCCGCTGACTTTTGGCATTGCTCTTGCTCGCAGCTGATCCCACCTCCATAATATCTGTTTCTCTCTCTGTCTCGGTTGCTCGGCGCACAGTCTCACCGGTAGAGAGAAAGCAGCAGCCAGCCAAGTAAGCGACTTTCGTTTTTGAAATTAAAATTTTGGAATTTTTTGCACTTGTTTGTTTTTGGTCCCTTTACTTTGGGAGGCTTTGGAGGGAATACAGTTTTCAGCAACCAATCAATATGTGACACGACATTACTTAGTTTGACCGACCATCTCCCCGTGGCCAACCAATCAGTATGATTATTTAAATAATCATAATAACATTTAAATTATAAATTAAATA